CAGCTAATTTTCCGACGGTCTTTCTAAGACGTAAAACATAACCAGTAGCAATTACTGGCCACGTTTTCGCTTGGTGATCGCCTTTTTCCAAGAGCATCATTAAGCTAAAAATAAGCGGTATTCCCATGTGGCTACCGAAGGCGATTGGTGACCCAATCACAGAACTAAGCAGCATGATAAGGGTGGAAGTCATAAATGAGATATTGATGTTTGAGTTTTTTAGCTAAATAGACAACCAACAAACATTCTAATTAATTAATTCGTGTCCAACAAACGATTGCGCATTCATTAGTACCCAATTGAAACCAAATAAAAAATAATTTTTTTCCGCTATCTTCACACCGAAATTTTTATTTCTCAATAACAAACAAAATAATGTCCAACAAGCGTTATAAATAACACAGCTCCACAAAAATCAATCGCCGGCACCTGAGACCAGAGTAGGTGGACTACATGTTTTTGGGATCGCTGATCACGAATCTGCACTCAGAATTTTCCGGTTGCATCAAATTTTTTAGTTAATTGCAAAAAAAGGTCAAAATATCGATATTTTGCACCTATTTCAGACCTTACATTAACAAAACGATAAATACCTATGCATAAAGGATTACTATTTTGTATCCTAACTTTCATACTCACAGACCCTTAACCCATGATCCTAAAACCATCGATTTCTAACCTCAAAACCCCAAAAACCCTGCTTAATACCAGTAGAACCAAGTAAATCTTTAACCAAACCGCAACCCTCAAACCTACCAGACCCTGCTCACCAAGACTTCAATGGAGTGGACCTTCAGTCAAACAGCAAGCCATCAACCCATCAAACCCAGCCCACCAAGAGTTCAATATAGCAGACCTTTAGTCAAACAACAAGCCTCAAACCCACCAGACCTTGCTCACCAAGAGTCCAATCTTCAACCAAACAGCAAACCTCTATACTTTAAATCTTCAAACCTTAACTACATTAACTTTTTTATTTTCCTCTTTATCACAACAGATGTTAAGTAACTTAAACACTTTTTACCCATTCACATTCACAGGACAAATACCAGTACATCTTCAACCTGTAATTTTGTTTACTCTAAACCTATCAACTTCCATCTTATCGCGATTCTTATATTTTAAATATATATTTTAGATTATAAAGTAAACTGCCTGAGTCAAATCGTAATAAAAATGCTGTTAGGTTGAATTTTTACTCCATTGAACTCTTGGCGAGCAGGGTTTAATGTGTTTAAGGCTGGCGGTTTGGTTAAATGGTTACTCAATTGATCATGATGTAAATAGGGTTTGGTGGGTTTGAAGCTTGCTATTAGACTCAAGGTCTATGATATTGAACTCTTGGTGAGCTGGGTTTGGTGGGTTTGAGGCTTGCTGTTTGACTCAAGTTCTACTATATTGAACTCTTGGTGGACTGGGTTTGGTGGGTTTGAGGCTTGCTGTTTGACTCAAGTTCTACTATATTGAACTCTTGGTGGGCTGGGTTTGATGGATTTGAGGTTTGCTGTTTGACTGAAGGTCCACTCCATTGAAGTCTTGGTGAGCAGGGTCTGGTAGGTTTGAGGGTTGCGGTTTGGTTAAAGATTTACTCGGTTCTACTGGTATTAAGCAGGGTTTTTGGGGTTTTGAGGTTAGAAATCGATGGTTTTGGGATCATAGGTTAAGGGTCTGTGAGTATGAAAGTTAGGATACAAAATAGTAATCCTTTATGCATAGGTATTTATCGTTTTGTTAATGTAAGGTCTGAAATAGGTGCAAAATATCGATATTTTGACCTTTTTTTGCAATTAACTAAAAATTTGATGCAACCGGAAAATTCTGAGTGCAGATTCGTGATCAGCGACCCCAAAAACATGTAGTCCACCTACTCTG